GTTCTGTATGGGCCGGTATGGGCTGCCGTCCCCAGTCTTAGCCATTCTCTTCTTGATTATATGTTTGGCAACTGTTTTGCGATCGTATGCCAGACCTAACTGTGCAAACAAATCTATAAAAGCTGTGGCGATATTGAAGTTGTCTTTCCATCCGTATTCAGATGCAGAATAGTCCCAGGGATATCTGGGTTCGCAAAATAATTGTCGTGTAATTTAAGATTTCAAATACTAATCTGATATGATATATGATATTATGATCGACAGCCGATGTGACCCTGCTAACACACCAAACGAGGCGATGAATCCAATGAAATAGGCCCACAACCAGGACTGCCATCGAGAGTATTTGATACCCAAATACCAGCCATAAAAGCCCAACACATGCATTACAGCCGATGTGACCCTGCTAACACACCAAACGAGGCGATGAATCCAATGAAATAGGCCCACAACCAGGACTGCCATCGAGAGTATTTGATACCCAAATACCAGCCATAAAAGCCCAACACATGCATCGCAGACATGATTATGACATTTCGCCAAACGATTTGGACTTTGTATGAATTCCTCGTTTTGACATCAATTCCTTAAATAGTGTTATTGTTTTCATCAATCGATGAAATAATTACTTGTGATGTCAGAGAAAGGTGTCATAATGGGTAGCGGTATAGTGATGGGTGCACTGGCAGTGATCGGCATTAAAATGTACGGCGGAAAGAGTGGTGACCACAAAGACAAACCAAAAGCCGGACACAAATGAAAGACCGGTACAAATGGTGACGCCGTCCGTTCGGGTCATATCTTTTTCACCAACGAAGCAAAGAAAATGTTTGACGAATTGACGAGAGAAGCGGATCAGAACTTTGAAAAACTGAAGAAAGAGACGGAAAGTAAGAGCAAAGAGTTTGGACACAAGTTGGAGAAGAAGGCAAAGGTACACCAGAAGAGTGCCGCCGATAAAGCGAAACAATTGAAAACTGAGGCCAAACAACAATTGAATCAATTCAGACACCACTCTTCAGAGAAGGTTATGGTCTTTTAGAAAGAGGTCGAGAATAAGACTAAAGAGATCGGTGAGAAGGCTCGACAGGCCATGAATTGGCCGAAACAAGAGTTTGATAAATTGAAACACGAGTCCGAAGATAAGGTGTTTGTCTGGAAGAAGGAAAGAAGTGATTATATGACCGAAAGCTGAAGAGGCCAATGAACTCCTCGACCAAAACTTTCCCGATAAAGACGATAAAAAGCCTTAAAACTCATAATTAATATAACTGTCCCTTCTCTTTGTAATTTAATTCAAATTCAGAATCTATTTTGTTTTGTATTTTTGAATAAATACTTTGTATTTCCAAATATTCTGTTTATCAATAAATTGTAATAACAAGAATAGTGCCAAATTATACCAAAAACCATTGATCAGTAATTCAATAATTGATATTCTACTCCATAATATGAAATAAAATATTTCAACTCAAATTATGATTTATTGATTAATAAATCTCTTTGAGAAGAAAAAACTTTTATATTTAGTTATATAAATCATTAAAATAGCAATTATCACAGAAATGACTCATTTTCTGATTATATTTTATCTAATGATATATAATTCTTCCAAAAATTAAATAGTTTTTTTTGGTAAACATGACTGATAACCAAAAATCTGCTTTACATTTATTAGGAAAATTGTTTATAAATGATAAACGTATAGAATATCCGATAGAACTTATATTTTATTTATACAATTATAGAACCAATTTAATGGACAATTATATATTATTTTAAGTCTTTATTGATACAATACTTGAAATATTATTTTGTAATATAAACTTCAAACAAAGTAGACATTGAAAATTTAAATTTAAAATATAAATACTAGTATTTTCGGTAGAATATCGGCCCAAACCATAAGTATTATTAATAGGTCTCATATAAATGGGAAGTGAATGAGGGCTTCAATGAATGAGTCGCTTCCTATTTAGTCCAATGAAAACCAACAGTTAGTCTGAATTTCAACGTCTGAAAGCTATTTAGAGAATATAAATAAATAAACATAAAAAACACTCGACTTATGATGCTATTAGTGCTAATAAATTGATCACATTTTGTTAACTGAGCTCTTCTGGTATACCTTTGCCTTCTTCTCCAACTTGTGTCTAAACTCTTTGCTCTTAGACGGCGTCACCATTTGTACCGGTCTTATGATTTGTGTCCGGCTTTTGGTTTGTCTTTGTGGTCACCACTTCTCTCTCTCTCTCTCACTCACTCACTCACTCACTCACTCACTCACTCACTCACTCACACACACACACACACGAACTGTTAGAGTCTAACAGATAATTATGTAGAATATTATCTTTAGAGCAGACATTTGATATCAAGAAAATACAAATTTTTTTGCACAATTGTGTCCTTGTATTGAATTTACAGTAAGTTATTAAGCATCGCTACAAATATTGCATTCATTTATTCGCTTTGAATTTAATTAAATAACAAGATTTTTAACACGTCTATAACTATTATATTCAACTGTTTTATGTGTTTTATTTTAAATGATTTCCTGACGAATATCTCAATAATCTAAAGATATTTCATATAAAAGTTTGTGGAATTCAAACAACCTAGTCAATTTTCATGAAAAATTTGGTGCTATTGTCAAACATATTGTGTTTGTGTTTGTGGACGGGATGGTGTGAATGTGTATACTTTCCCGAAATCAATTTGGGAACAGTAGATCTGAGCCATAATCCCAAATGTATGCAAAGAATGGATCCCCACATCAGTAGGTGTACCCTTATATACCGATACGGTGTACAGAAAGCTATGGAAAACTCTAACTTCTCGGAGGACTCCGAAGCCGTCCGGAGAGCCACTTGTTGTGGGGTATTGTCGGCCCGACTGTGCTATTCAAAGGCCGCTCGATCTATAGCCGACTGCCATATACGGGACGCCCGGGCCTACGAAAAGTTGCCCATCGATGCCGACGCTATTTCCACAATGAATAGACACTGCAATGGCTATTACTTGTCATCCAAACTGTGCTCATCATCGGCTCAGCCTTCAAAGTCAAACAAACTTTTTATTTCACGATTAGTTTTTATACTTATAATACTGTTCCTGAATGCCGTAAGTCTTACATAAATTAAAATGCAAATCAAGTTATTTGTTTAATAATATAACTTGAATATGTTTGCATGAAAACTATTTTTCAATGTTATTCTGTTTTGATAAAATGCAGTTAAGTTTGAGTTGAATACTATTTTTAACGTTTTTATATTATTTTGGAAACTTTCCAAAAAGTACTCAACAAAAACAAAAACACTTTTACTTACTGTTAGTCAATATTTTTAGTCATAAAAGTAGTCAAAGGGTTGCGAAGTTATATAATCTATTAATTTGTAATACTTTATATTGTAAAATTGAGATTGTAAAATAAATTGATTTTAAAATTTTTAACGCAATTTATTTAATGCAATATTGTTTTGCTTATACATTAAAAGTTTGAAAATATTTTTAAGTAAATTAATGATTAAATGTTGGGTAAAAGTCTATCAATAATGACATAATTAACACAGTTATTTTAAGTAATATAATAATAATAATAATTTATATAATGATATGTATTTACAGTAATAATGATGAACAGTGTCTGATAGTGTCTAAAACCTATCGTCGACGGGTTTGATATCATTTTGAGGTTTATTGAAACTACATTTCCATCCGATGACAAACCCCGCCTGACATGTCTTATACTCTTTCGCATTCTTCTTAACCAAATTCGTAACTTGAATATGTTTGCATGAAAACTATTTTTCAATGTTATTCTGTTTTGATAAAATGCAGTTAAGTTTGAGTTGAATACTATTTTTAACGTTTTTATATTATTTTGGAAACTTTCCAAAAAGTACTGAACAAAAACAAAAACACTTTTACTTACTGTTAGTCAATATTTTTAGTCATAAAAGTAGTCAAAGAGTTGCGAAGTTATATAATCTATTAATTTGTAATACTTTATATTGTAAAATTGAGATTGTAAAATAAATTGATTTTAAAACTTTTAACGCAATTTATTTAATGCAATATTGTTTTGCTTATACATTAAAAGTTTGAAAATATTTTAAAGTAAATTAATGATTAAATGTTGGGTAAAAGTCTATCAATAATTACATAATTAACACAGTTATTTTAAGTAATATAATAATAATTTATACAATGATATGTATTTACAGTAATAATGATGAACAGTGTCTGACAGTGTCTAAAACCTATCGTCGACGGGTTTGATATCATTTTGAGGTTTATTGAAACTACATTTCCATCCGATGACAAACCCCGCCTGACATGTCTTATACTCTTTCGCATTCTTCTTAACCAAATTCGTGTAAACCTTTTCGATGAGATTCTCGAGTTTGGACACCAAATGCCTCCCATTATCACTGTTGACTGCATTCTTGAACTGCTTCACCACTTCTGATTTGATGGCATTGTGTCTGAGTTTGAGCTCAAAAAGTGTCGGAGGAATGTGTGGCACGGATTGCATGTATTCAGTCATTCGGCGCTCATATGTCTGACAGAATTGAATCTCTTTGGAGACCAACGACGAGGTCTTGTTATTCATTGCGGAGAAGATTTCGTTTTCGCCGATCTTTTCGCACATTTTCTATTCATTAAAAAACAAAATTTAAATAAAATTTACATAAATAATAATAAAGAAAAAAATTTTTAAAAATAAGAATAAATACCATTTAATAAGTATTTGAGTAGTCTGCTATAGTATAATCAAATGAATTGAAGTATAAAGTAATTCAATGGTTCACTTGCAGTAAGACTTGAAAACCAGATTCAAAGCTTATGAACACTTGGAGGATCTGTGAGAGGATTTTATACTTAGAGAGGGAGTCAACTTAATGGTAGAAGTAGTCGTAGTGTTTAAGTGGGCTTTGAGGGGAGAAATTGGGAAATGGGAGGTGAGGATGAATTTAGTCCTATCAGGCTATACACGTGTGCATCACTTTACAATCAAAACCACAATCTCTGTAAATCATACACATGTATACACGGAATAATGCACTCAATTCTACTACTGGAGTCATGAATATTTAAAAGTATCTATAATTTAAACAATTTTTAGATTTTTATTGAATGGAAAGTTTTTAGAAATACTGCCATTTATTGTAAACAATATATTAATCTTATTTTTTGATTATCGGAGACAAAAACCAAACTGTATGCATTTAACTGAATGGGCCTACTATTGAATATTTCGGTCAAAGAGTATTTATTTAAAAATTTTCCATACAATTATTATAAATAACAAATTGTCCAGGGCTACGCCTCTAGTTTAGGGAATGTAATACACAGTATGGACCCAATACAGTAATTATAAGTTTATGAATTTCAATCTGTAAAATAAGTTCATTAAATGTATTAAATATTATTAGTGCCGGTTTGCGGCCACAAACTGTTCACGTGATCGGAAAGTTATTACATTATAATAATAGCAGTTGTATGTGGACTCCAATGCGTGATCACTCACTGTATTGATGCCAAACATCCAGTTCTTAGATGTGAATCTCTTTCTTAAGTTTTATGCAATTTTTAAAAATAAGTTATTTCTCTAACTCTTATGAAAGGCTTTTATACATTTATACTTTATACTTTATAATAAAACTAAAAAAATTTTATAACAAAAGTAAGTACTGTATTATATTCTGAAGTTTTTAAATTGTTATTTATGCAGTTCCTTTAATTTTACAAATAAAATATTTAAATATATACCAAATATACAAGCTTAAAATACTTAAAACAAAAAACAATAAATGCATAAATTAATACAGTATAATTAATTTACATTATTAATTATAAAAATTGTAACAATTACCTACAATTTTAACAGTAATGAATTGTATTTCCAAAATTATTGAAAATCTTGATAAAAAAATTTCAATGAAGATTTTCTACAAATAGTTATTTTTCTATATAAAAAAAAATATAATCTACCGATTTATACATTTACTAAATAGATATTTGTTACTTGGGAAAGGTATAGTACACGCCTAGTATTCACGTCATATTTAGTATACATAATATACTGTATTACTGGTACAAAAAATCGTATAGAATAAATGATTTCATTAAAAATTTGCACTTAAAAACTAATGTAGAAGTTAAGGTCAACACGTGTAACCCCAAGTGAAATGGTTAGTCCAACAGTACTGTCACTAACAGATAAATCACATACATTTACTTTAACTTATGTATATGTTCTTTATAAATTATAATAGTTACTCAACTTTTTTTTATTAGACTAACTGTTGTTTAAGACATATAGTATTTGTTTAATATTAATGATAAGAATTTGTGTAAACTTTTTCATTATTAAAAATAAATACAAGAAAAGTTGCATAACATTTTATCATAAGTAAAAATTTATTTTTTATCTGTATTGGAAAACTCCTTTAATTATGTGATTATTTATTTACATATTTATTGCTTTACTTACTCATGAATATTAATCACTTTTTTTTATAAAGCATTATATTAAAATTTTCATAATATTTATAAATAAGAAAAATATTATTTCATATTAAGCCAATTTTAAAAAACAAAAATTTGTCTAGATCAGATAATGAAAACAAATGTATTAATATTTCTGTTTATGAATTAAATTCTCTGTATTTCGAGATTTTCTATATTAATGTTATTTATAGGAATGTATTTGATATAGAATTATAATAACATATTAAAGAGCATAACAAATAATAGTGAAGTGTTTGTTGCTAAATATTTTTTCAATGATAGACTTTTTAATAGCTTATGTGACGTTAAAAGGGAGACATGAGATGAATGACAATTTCGGAGGAATACCGGTCCCCGCGAAGGCCTTCAACTCCTTAAGACAAGTTCACAGCATTTGTGAGACTCGATGTAACAAAACTTTGCTATATTTGCCGTTTTAGACGATAAATTTGAGGGAATTTTCCTTAACCTTTGTATCGATTTATTTGATAAATGCATATTTGTCTTTGTATTTGTGGGTTAAAAAACTTTTGCCTTAAAAGTTGGATTCAATACATTTTCAACACGTGTTGGACAAAGACATAAGTTTACAAACATGTTTATAAAAATAAAGATTATTTAAACATATTGTGACTAGTTTAAAAAGATCAAAGCTCATTACATTATGCAAAATAAACATTTCTATGAAAAATATGTTTAGAGTATTATATAATATACGAGTGTTTGATAACAACAATATAACTGTAAAATTAAATGCAATTAGAGTTTTACAAAAACAAAAAATATTACATACATGTGCTGGATAAGCGGTTATTATATGATCGTCAACGTGCAGAAAAGAGTTATCTATTTTTCAATGCAAACTGTATATAAAGCATAATCATTGTATTAATAGTATCACATATCACATTGTATACAATGAATACAACGATTATTTTTTATATACAGTTTGCATTGAAAAATAGATAACTCTTTTCAGCACTCAGACGATCAAATGTATCAATGACAACTTTAGTGCACAATAAACTACTACAGAATCTACAGTACAGAATTAAATACAACCCTAAATACAATCATATTACACATAAAACTATAGGAAATGTACAGGCAATTGCTTATAATAGCAATTTAAATGATTAAAATTTAGAGTAAATGTATTCTGTATTTGTATAGAGAATGGAAAATTTTTCTTATTGAAATTCTTAGGCTACTCTCGATTTAATGTCTAAAAATAATCAAAACATAGCTCCAAGTTATCGGGAAAATCTCAACACGTGTAGGGGATTGCCTCCTAGTCCACACTATGGACTCCGCACACCACACTACCTGTCCTCTTGTGAGTGATGGAAAACTTTCTGATTTGAACTCAAGAATCAGATTAACTAACTAATGTCCCATTCCGGTACTGCCCTCCCATTCCTCCCATATATAAGTCCTGAGAACTGATCCCAAATTATCCATTCAATCACTAAGTCTTCATTAGAACTGTTTAGCGAAATAAAAAAGTTTTTAACAAATATTTTCAATTCAATTAACTCTTGAACTGAACACAAACTTTGAATACAATCATGAATTCAATGGAATTGGAGAACAACTTCTCGACCCAAATGAATCTGAAGAACAATCGAGTGCTCAGCGAATCGAAACATCGCAAGAAGTCATCGGCGGTCACTCCCATCAATCTGGACAGTAGGGAACGGGTCCACGAGTTCCTCAACAAATTCGACTTCATTTTGTCCGACTGTGACGGCGTCCTGTGGGTCAACAACGGGGCCGTCATTTGAGTGCATTATTCCGTGTATACATGTGTATGATTTACAGAGATTGTGGTTTTGATTGTAAAGTGATGCACACGTGTATAGCCTGATAGGACTAAATTCATCCTCACCTCCCATTTCCCAATTTCTTCCCTCAACCCCCACTTAAACACTATGACTACTTCTACCATTAAGTTGACTCCCTCTCTAAGTATAAAATCCTCGATCAGATCCTCCAAGTGTTCATAAGCTTTGAATCTGGTTTTCAAGTCTTACTGCAAGTGAACCATTGAATTACTTTATACTCCAATTCATTTGACTATACTATAACAGACTACTCAAATACTTATTAAATGGTATTTATTCTTATTTTAAAAAATATTTTTCTTTATTATTATTTATGTAAGTTTTATCTAAATTTTGTTTTCTAATGAATAGAAAATGTGCGAAAAGATCGGCGAAAACGAAATCTTCTCCGCAATGAATAACAAGACCTCTTCGTTGGTCTCCAAAGAGATTGAATTCTGTCAGACATATGAGCGCCGAATGACTGAATACATGCAATCCGTGCCACACATTCCTCCGACACTTTTTGAGCTCAAACTCAGACACAATGCCATCAAATCAGAAGTGGTGAAGCAGTTCAA